TATCTATCTATCTATCTATCTATATCTATCTATATCTATCTATATCTATCTATCTATATCTATCTATATCTATCTATATCTATCTATCTATATCTATCTATATCTATCTATCGATAGAATCTCACTGCTTGCACTGGGATAGGCAAGTAGTACTGGCGAGAACTTAAAAAAAAATCCATGTCATTTAACGCAATTTAAAATTCCTCTATTATTCTATTGAAAAAATACAACCGTAACCTTTGCTTCACACAAAAAAAAAAATTACTTACAGTAATATTGGCAATCATTCTATTAAGCTTTATAATCATGTAAAAAATGTCCGAGCTTTTTTTTGGAAAGCTACTTTTCAACATACACTTTTTGAAACATTTAAACTTTAAAGTTTTTATTATTTTTCAATATGGCAAATCTTTATCACTCTCACTGTTTTTCAACTTCATCATATAATTGTGGAATGTAATGTGATGAATTCAGTTTAGCGAAAGTGTATCAATGTATGGATGCATTTAATAACTTTAATATTTATTTTATTTATTTACCAGGCAAGTCCCATTAAGATCTCAGATCTCTTTTTCAAGGGCAGCCAGGGCCTGAAGGCAACCTATTGTACATGTTTTTGTGGTGTGGGGGAAACCATAGTACCCAGAGAAAACCCACATAAGCACGAGGAGAACATGCAAGCTCCACACAGAAAGACCCCAGTTCCGAACCGGGAATCGAACCCAGGACCTTCTTGCTGTGGGGCGTCAGTGCTAACCACTGAGCTGTCGTGACAATTATTGGTTTAATAGCAAAAAGTAGTTTTGGCTGTTTAATTTGTTCCATTAATATTTGCATTTTGTGTTTTACAAAAGAAACCAATGTCCTGAAATATTTGTTGAACTATAAACATTCTGCCTCAGTCTTGGTCTCGGAGGGTCCGGTCTTGGTCTCAGAACAACTGGCCTTGACTACATCCCTGAACCCCATAGATCTATTCAAATGAACACAGCTAAGGTAGTGTTACGAGCCCTCATGCTTACCTTTGGCGAAGGACCAAAGCTTAAGAAACAACTGTCAATGTGCAAGCATTAGCAAATGTTTCCCCTCATATGCACGTGAATGTCCAGAAGCTTGTGTCTCGTCAGGATGTCATGGTTACCCAAAATCTGCCATGGACCTTGTTAAACTGGACAGTGTCCAAGCCGACATATCATGTCTAGCACTTGTTAATGACCAAGGTGGTTTGCACTGGAATTTGAACCCTGAATTCCTGATCTTATGTAACTAAATTGTGTGACAATACCACCCATCACTGCAGCCATCTCCCAGCACATGTCCAGTGATTGACAAATCACAGAAGTCAACAATGATACAATTAAAATTATGAACTTTCTTGTCTTATGTGCTTTTTGTTATGTTGCACTGGTTTTGGCAAGTTGCAGCCTCGTTCACTATCAAATAAACTGACTCTTTTCATCCATTAAAGGAGGTGAATATTTTTTACAATCCAAATTTACTTATTTTATATTTATATTTATATTATATTTTGATTATATCAGCATTAGTTTGTAGAAATTTTAGTTTTTTTATTAAATTATTGTGATCATAACTGATTTATGAGAGCAATAAAAAAATAAAATATCCAAGGTAGTGAATACATTTTATACGCACTGTATGTATGCCACAAAATAATAATTTACAAAACTAGAACATTGACCTCTCAGCCTTTCAAACAATGGCATGTTGTCACACACCAGTAGATTGAAAGATTGAATGAAAGGACATTTTCAGCAATTCAATTTCTCACTCTCTGTCTCTCTCTCTCTCTCTCTCTCACTCTCTTTTTCTTTTACTCACACCCACACAGACACAGTCTCAGATTTTTAATTACAAAGACGTGCATTCATTCAGACACTCTTTGATGGAGCAAAGCAGGCTGAGCTGTTTGGTTTATCTGAATCAGCGGAAGGAGCAGCCCTTCAGCTCATAAACAACCTCTGTTGCAACCTTGATATGTAAATGCCACTTGGTTCAATCTGCTCAAACACAAACACCCAAACACAGCTGTGTTACCTGAGATGATGGAGGCATGTCTGAATTCCTCCGAGAAATGGATTGGCTCATACGGTGACGTCTCATAGAATTCTTCACCTACAAGTGGGAAAAAAAGAAAAAGGATAAGAATAATCTCAATTAAAAGATAGCTAGTTTTGCTGCAAAAATGGTTTGAACTATTTTGAGGCTGAAATTGAAAAAGAAATACAATAACATTGTCATTGTACAAACTTGTGCTGCGAAAGGCATCAACTTTGTTTGCAAGGTGTTGTGCACAGAAGCCACCTATATCACACGTCTTTAATGGCACTGGAAATGCCTTACAGGAGGCATGATCTTCATCTGCAACACTTAAGGAGGATTATGCCCCACTATGGACTATGCCCCATGTTTCTGCTTGTCCTGCTTAAAATCCTCCATTACGAATACTTGATGGTGCACCAAACCCAGCGTGACAGATTTACTGTCACCAGTGTCATCATGTTCCTCCAGGATACTCACAGGTTTCTGATCTACTGCTACTTTGGCAATTCACCATCCAGACATTGCTACTAAAATTTTGTGCAGCCTCAAAACTATCATGGATCTGCTGTATTTTATTTTTAGCCAACTGTTTACATCAGGGGTGTCAAACTCCTTTTCACCGAGGGCCACATGAGCGTAATGGTGGCCCTCAAAGGGCCATTTGTAATAAACTTTGACATTTCATGTTTAACTTTGACTAAACAGTGTTTTAACATGTCCTCTTTTAAACACGGATAAGAACTAAGTGTGTGACTGACTAAATCTGAAATAAATGCAGAAATACAGTGGTTTGCAAAAGTATTCATACCCCTTGAACTTTTCCATATTTTGTCACATTACAACCACAAACATAAATATATTTCACTGGAATTTAATGTGAAAGACCAACACAAAGTGGTATACAATTGTGAAGTGGAAGCAAAATTTTAYATGAATCAAAACATTTTTTACAAATAAAAAACTGAAACGTGCGACGTGCAAAAGTATTCAGCCCCCTTTTCCCTGAGTGCAACCAATTGCATTCAGAAGTTGCCTGATGACTGMTAATGACTCAAAAGGGTCCACCTGTGTGTAATCTAATCTCAGTACAAATACAGCTGCTCCGTGACGGCCTCAGATGTTGGTTAAGAGAATATTGGGGAGCAAACAGCATCATGAAGTCCAAAGARCACACCAGACAGGTTAGGAATATGTTTTGGAGAAGTTTAAAGCAGGCTTAGGTTATAAAAAGATTTCCCAAGCTTTGAACATCTCACGGAGCACTGTTCAATCCATCATCCGGAAATGGAAAGAGTATGGCACCACAGTAAACCTGCCAAGACAAGGCCGTCCACCTAAACTTACAGGCCGAACAAGGAGATCACTGATCAGAGAGGCAGCCAAGAGGCCCATGGTGACTCTGGATGAAATGCAGAGAGCCACAGCTCAGGTGGGGGAAACTGTCCACAGGACAACAATTAGTCGTGCACTACACAAATGTGGTCTTTATGGAAGAGTGGCAAGGAGAAAGCCATTGTTAAAAGAAAACCATAAGAAGTCCCGTTTGCAGTTTGCCAGAAGCCATGTTGAGGACACAGCAAACATGTGGAAGAAGGTGCTTTGGTCAGACGAGACCAAAATTGAACTTTTTGGCCACAATGCAAAACGCTATGTGTGGCGGAGAAAGAACACTGCACATCACTCTGAAAACACCATCCCCACTGTCAAATATGGTGGTGGCAGCATCATGCTCTGGGGGTGCTTCTCTTCAGCAGGGACCGGGAAGTTGGTCAAAGTTGATGGGAAGATGGATGGAGCCAAATACAGGGCAATCTTGGAAGAAAACCTGTTGGAGTCAGCAAAAGATTTGAGACTGGGGCGGAGGTTCACCTTCCAGCAGGACAACGACCCTAAACATAAAGCCAAAGCTACAATGGAGTGGTTTAAAAAAAAGAATATTCATGTGTTAGAATGGCCCAGTCAAAGTCCAGACCTAAACCCAATTGAGAATTTGTGGCAAGATCTCAAACTGCTGTTCACAAACGCTCTCCATCCAATCTGACTGAGCTTGAGCTGTTTTGCAAGGAGGAATGGGCAAGAATTGCAGTCACTAGATGTGCAAAGCTGGTGGAGACATACCCTAAAAGACTTGCAGCTGTAATTGCAGCAAAAGGTGGCTCCACAAAGTATTGACTCAGGGGGGCTGAATACTTTTGCACATCGCACTTTTCAGTTTTTTATTTGTAAAAAATGTTTTGATTCATGTAAAATTTTGCTTCCACTTCACAATTGTATACCACTTTGTGTTGGTCTTTCACATTAAATTCCAGTGAAATATATTTATGTTTGTGGTTGTAATGTGACAAAATATGGAAAAGTTCAAGGGGTATGAATACTTTTGCAAACCACTGTATTTAGTTTATGGTTGATGCTGACTTTAAGCAGCTAACTTTCAGACAATAATACTGTGCTATCCAACTAAATTGCTCAGTTACTTAAAGCCAACAGCTTAGGGACAGGAATTTATTAAATTTATTTTTCTTTTATTTTTATTAAATTTATTTTGTTGCATTTAATCATAAATTTAAAGTTTACCATTGATAAAAGAAACAAATTTCATGCTAAGTAAAAAAAAAATTGGGGGGTACCCCCTAGCGGGTCACATGGGAGTCACCCACGGGCCATATTTGGCCTGTGGGCCTTGTGTTTGACACGTGGTTTACATCAAAGAAAGGTTGTCATCCAGTATGGTGGGGATTGCAGAACTTTCCACGCTGGTCTCACACCTGGAATATAATCTCATGAGGCCATTATCATCCTATTAGATTGGTGTGATCTTCCTGTGTGTACTGCTTTCAAGACGTGGTTTAATAGAATCGTACAGGACAGAACACCAGACGTGGTGCAATCATGGGCTTATGTAGTAGGATCTTTGTGGACATGTTTCGTGGATTGAGCTTATCAAGGGCACTAAGTACTAAAACTGCAGCAGAATCATAACTGTTTCAACAATGACGGATGTTTTCCAAATCTGTAACAATTGAGACACATTCAAGTAAATTGAAGAGGTCACAAAGAGCTTAAGAATCTTAATCCAATGTGAAAGGAAACTAATAATGCAATGCACATTTTACCACATCTTTTACTTGTTCCACTTGAATTCTGTCATTCAGATAGATTTAGAATGACTTATAGGATTAATGCAAAATCTCTCAATAAGTTGTTTTACAAGTTTATAAGCATAAATAATGTTCTTACATTCTTTTTTATATTAGACTATATAAAATAATTTGATTCCATGTGTGGCAGTTTTAGTGGAGGTGGTAGGTTCATCCCTTGTCTGCTGCAGTCACTCAAAGTAATTTGTCCTGTAAACACAATCCAGAGCCAAAACCTGCCTGAGCCTGGCTGTCGTGCTTTCTCGTGTTGTCAGAGCTTCACCCACTACAAGTGTCTGGTGCACTGCCAGAGAACAACGAGCAGTCTCTTCTGAAGTACATCAAACATGACAAAGCCAAACGGCCGACAGCTGAAACACAGGAAACACAACTGGCAATACTGAGTCATAAACTGGAAGTAATCTCAATTTGACTTTCCCATCTAAGAGATGTCACACATCACTTCTCAGAAACAGTCCACTTTGTTTCAACCAGACCAGATTTACTAAGGCCTTACACCTGTGGTAAGGTCCGTTTTAGCCAAAGTAAATGAATAGTGCCTGTTAGTTTAAATCATCCAAGCACAATACCAGGTTGGCTGTTGAAATGGTAAGTAATGTGTGGTACACAAACACCTATGCCACATTCATGACAAAAAAAACAAAAAAACAAAAACAAAACAAAAACAAAATGGTCCAAATTTTTGTACAACTTGGTGTGAATTCCTGGGAGGTTTCAGGATTCAGGATTCATTTATTGCCATATGCAGGTTAACAAGAGTCAATTCCTTAGGATGAGAAGAAACCCTTTGACTCGCTATAAATAAAGACAATACAAAATACAGGACGTACAGATGTTGTAACACTGGCAGGAATGTGAAGAAACTCCTTCTGTGTTAATAAATTGCCAGAAGAAGATTTTATCAAACTGAAAGAGATGCTATTTTTAACACAATGGAGGAAATCTAAGATGACCCGGATTCTGCAAATAGAAGAAAGTCATGCAATGATGCTGCGCTTCATGTTCTTCTTCCAGCTTTTTTTTTATTTAGTATTTTTTAACACTAATATTAGACATTATATTCCTTCATAAAATGCTATCATCCTTTTTAGGTAAAATATTCAAGGCACATTGATGTTTAGTAAGCTTTTATTTAAGTCTTTTGTAGTACCAGCTGATAAAAATATGACATTAAACTGTGCTGACTTGTAGTTATTAGGGTTTTTTGCTGTTGTTGATAATTTTTGTTGCTCATTTAAATGTATTTATGCTGAAGAGTTATGTCTTATCCTACCCATTAAGAAGATGTAGATTATTTTTCAAATTACACTTTATAAACAATATCTTTTTCCCACTGAGCCAGAAAGCACATCTCATGTTTTAATTAAAAAGGTGATCAGGTCCATGCTTACATGACCTGAGTCATAAGAAAAAAAATTGTGTGGCCTAATATTTTGCAGCTTAGCTCTAACTTTGGCTTTGTCAACTGTTTGGTCATTATTAAAATGAGCTGGTTATTTTTGAATTTGTGGCTTAGCAAGGTTTTGTAATTTCATCAGCAAAACTGCAGGCCAAATGCATTCCTTCAAGAATTGATAGGCCTTTAATGCTAACTTGCAGCCAGACTTAAAATTCTTATGAATAAGAAAATATGGACACTGTATTTTAAACAAAATGCCTTTTTTTATTAATCACTTTTAGAAAAGAAGCGCCACGCTAAGTCACAATCTGTCAACTGAACGTTACCATAACATTCTCATATAGGAAAAGGGATAAAACAAAAGGATGTAGTGAAGATATAAGAATAAGTAGTCCACCATTCATGGGTGTAGAAAAACAGTGAATCCAGGTTAAAGATCAGCCAGTTCAATAAGCAGACAGTTAAGGATGATGCATTTCTTTTTCCCTCAGTGAGGCTTTTATCTCATCAACAGT